ATCTATCAAACAATCTATGACACATCGCTTAAAAAAACCAACATAATGGTGTCGCTTATATCAAGTATGATCAAATCCTAAAGGTACGCAACATGGTGAAATCCGAATAAGGAAATGAAATAGCATAAGCGAAAAAAAAAATTGAAACAGATTAACAATTATTCGATGACGAGTCAATAACATTCAATTGATGTATTAAGGCAACCTTGTATGGCATGAGATGAAGTGTGCGACGAGGATGCAGCCGAAGATGTACTTGTGGGTAATTGGGCAGAGATGGGCCACGCACCGGCTTGCAGAACGAGTGCTTGCATTTGAACGTTCAGTGTGATTTTTTCGGATGCACAATGCTTAAAGAAACGAATTCATCGATTTCCAATGATAGCTCTTTGCAATGACTGATTGAAAACAGCAATAATAATCATAACAAATTATACACCTAAAAAACACAACTGACAAAAATCAATCAGTGAAGAAACAAAACGAAACAAAAAAAAAACCCAAAAACAAAAGAGTTGAAACGAACCGCATTGAATTTATCGGTCAACTCATGACTCAGGCCCACATCAGTGAACATTCGCGATAGTTTACTTGTGAATTCAAAACCACAAGCTTGCTGAAATTTATCCATTTCTTGACACCATACAAAATTTGTTAAAAACAATGAACTTCATGCAATTCTAAGTTGCTCTAAATTTGCTGCCTGTTGAACAACAAAAGCAAACCTTTAGTTTGGTGATCATTGACTCTTCGGCATCCTTCGAAATCGATACATTTGAGATCAATCGTGTGGCTAACATTTTCGAGTAAAACTGAAACCAACAAAATCAACTTCTCAAATTGTATTCCATTATCATTTGAAAAGAATTTCACCAACTCGTTGTTTATTCACAAAATTAACAACGAAACTAAAAGAAAAACCTTTTGAAAAACATCTTTATCCTCGATATATCGGAATATAGTAATTGCATGCTTCAGCTTCTGATCCACTTCACCCTCCGACAACCCTTTCACAGATTTCCTCAAAAGAGTGTCCGTATATCTTGCCAACTGCAAAAGAACCAATTAAAATCTCACAACATCACCATCATCTTGATCATTTTAATATCATCAGTTGAGAGGATATGTTAAGTTTAAAAAAACAACGCAGAAAAAAAGAACCACAAACGAATCAAAGAACAAATAAATGATGCTCGAAGATACCCTTTCAGACGCTTTTGGAGACTGCCGTTGCTCTTCACGATAATTCACCACGGCTTGCAAAGCCTATAAACAAACAAAATTTGAATTCATTCATAACCAAGCAATCATATCTCCCGCACAAATCCAGAATCTTAATCATAATTGATATAATTTCCAAAATGAACGAGTGTTCATAGAAAAGTTTACGTTTGTTTTAAAAAAATTGTTCTTCTTAACACACATAAAATAAAGCAAATGACATTGAACTTCATCATGAAAACGGAGTAAATGACAACAGAAAATTCCGAAAGAAGCAGCAGGACAAGTCGCAACCAAATCAACTCACCTTATCCAAAGCACCACTGAAATCACCGTCTCCTTCGAATACCTCAGTAACCATTGCACTGAATTTTTCATACACCTAAAAACTGTGATTCAAAAAAATTGAAAAGTTAACATATTAAATCAACTGCGCACAATCTTTCAATAAATAAAAATTCGAATATAATTCATTCAAAACGAGAAGACAGCCCATTGTTGAGAGTTTATGCAAGAAATCAATTGAAAAAATAACACAAAATTCGCCTACTCGCTCCTCTATTCCCTAAGCTTTCAGTAATACACTACGACCCATTCAATATCACAAACAATCCATAAAATTAAACAAACCTGTAAAACATTTTCAACGAATTGACTAGGTACATTATCACCTTGCAGATTACTCACAGCATCAAGACCCGTTTTCTTAACGAATGATTCAAATTCACGTATCACAACCACTAGACCACGTGGTATCGGTTTAAGCAGCGTGTACATATTATGTAGATCTTAAAACCGTTCACAATTAAAACTACTTCGTTGTAAAATAAAATGAGACATCATATGAAATTCCATTAACTCATCATTCATCTTGTCTTCGTTTAACACAGACTACATAGTCGAACAATCCAATTTTCAGTCAAACGAATTGCAATCAAGCGTGACACACGTGTTGATATTTCTTCATCGATTAAAATATGAAATGAACAAACGGAATGGACGATTCCAAGAAACAACTAACCGTGTCGTTGGAACGTTTGTATCATTTCGTGACAAACTGCATGAAGTTTGTCTTTATGCGCACTCACCATTACATCTTCACACAATCGAGTCACTTTTTCATATGAACATTTATGCAAGAAACGTCGCGAACGTTCTTCTTCATTCGCCAGACACGCGATCACCTTAGATTCACATTAAGAAGATACACAAAAAAAAAGAAGATTCACTAAGTAAACGATAACAATTCAACTGATAAACATGAATAATACACGTATAGATAAGCATATGCCGAAAGAAAAATTCAATATGAAAGACACCA